GCACCAAGCAACAACCCTAGGTTCTCCCCTGAGAACCAGACCAAAAATTTTATATGCAACCCTGTACATATAAATGTATCAGTGATCTAATTTTTTTTGTATTAATACACACAGTATATATTATATACAGTAAGTATTGTATATTATACTAATAAAGAGTACACCATTAGCACACATCTGCAAGGAATCCTTTACATTTGTAGCTCTGAAAAGTTTTAGAGAGACACTCATCTTTATAATGAAAGAAACAGATGAGGGTGGATAAAGGTGTTCGCTGCAAGCATATCATAACAAAAGTCAACTAACAGCCTTTGGATTGTTTTACAGAAGGAGGGGTTAGGTCCTGATAATCTCAGAAAGCCAGTCTCCTCTCTCTTTGGTGCGTTTAAACTTGATATTAACCAATACCATTTAGTAGTGACACTTGATATTTTGATATATTTCCTTATGAATACGTTGTAAAAACCCACCAAATGTGGTTAAAAATAGTCCAAATTTTAACAACCCATCCAAAGCTGTTTCTTCCAGCCCACCGTGTTCAAAAGAAGCCCAATTGGGTGGAAACCAGCCCAATCTGGTAACACTGGTGCAGCATTTTATTTTTGAAGCAGAGTTTCGAGCGGATGGTAAAATAAACTTAGAATATTGATTCAAACACATAACTATCGATACGGTCCAGTGCTAATTTAGCATCATCTGTTGCTGTAAAGTTTCAGTCATTCAGGACGTGAAATGAAAAAGAACAAGAATGAAGCAGTTCTGTTCTGTAGCTGAAGACATGCAGAGTTCTGTGTTTGAAACCCCATCAGGTTGGTAACGTTATATATTCTTGGTTCGATCCGATATGCTCACCGCTACCTCAGAGACGCTACGAGTAGTCAGATGAAATGAGACATTAGCATTGAGAGTCACTTTGTAAGACATCTGACAAGTTGCACACAGCCAAATACAACCAGATTTGAGCCACATTTACCTGCAGTGTGAATATAGTCTAAAAGAAAACAAAAAAAGGGCTTGTGGTGATGTAATGTAATTGAAAACAACACGTTTTTTTAAAGCACCAAATTTAATAGATGTAAAAGAGAAAACCCTTAAAAACCCCTGCATTAGAAGGAAATCCTTCGAAATCTAAAATAATCTTATTTGATGTGTCCTCTGTTACCACGACTGTGCCAAGTTGAATGAAGACTGAAAGAGCATATTCTGTTTGTGCATATTTCTAGCTTACCTGGCTGACATTAGCTGGGGTAAGAACCATGTCCAGGACTCCCGACCAGCCAGCAACCACTCCAGTGGGGACTGCATAGGCCAGTGCAATCATCAAGAACCGGAAATTGCTGAAAGGAAACAAAAATTGATTATCAATTAGGCATTATTAAAAAAGTTTAACCAAATGTGCAATGACTGCCCCTATTTTTGATAAATTCTTTATATATTAGTGTGTAAATAACGTTAAATATTTCACATTAAGTCAGACTGTGTAAAATCTTATTGAGTAATTTAATCTATGACTTGAAAACCATTGTTATGAATAATTTACAAGATGTTTTAGAAAAGAAAACTTCACAGCACAGTTAAAAGCAGCAAATACATTCATATGAAAAACAAAAATTGGATTGTTTAGCAAATGCATGAAGARCAAAGGGGAAACAAAATCAAACAGTTGCAACCATTAAAGTTTGCATATTCATCCATTTTCTTGGAAAAAATAACTGCAAAATAGTAGTAGTAGTAGTACTTTATTCATTTCATTTTTAACACAGATTAACAAAGTCCAAAAACATGCAATCAAAATAAAACCACATAAAATGAAAGGCAGCAGAAGAATAATAAATCTTATAATATCTGCCCCTTTTTATACCCAAAATTTGTTCAAAGGAGAAGTAAAATACAACAAAAATCAAAACGGCTTAAAACATTAAAAAAAAAAATCAATTCAAAAAACAGCATGAATTCACTTATAATTCTCCATATTCCTTCAGAATACTCATTTTATAATTCTCTTCAATATATACAAAGATCTGTCATTTTAAACCTCATCTTCCATGTTATTCCATAATCTTATTCCCTGGATTAAAGTGGATTGCTCCTTCAGGCTCGTACCAAACCAGGGTTTCACAAATATTTTTTTTATTTTATTTTATTTTA